TTCGGATTATTACAAATACTTGAGATACATTGATTTCCTTCGCATAACGTTTATGGAAGTAAGTTATAATCCCATCCCAAGTCATTACATACGGAATAATTTACGTCTCTGATCCCAGTTTATTACCCAGTAAATCATACTTTCACTTCTCGGTCTCCACTGTTATCAATCTGTCTTGATCAGTGATGCCAACCCGTATCAGGATTACTTCACGTCGCTTTTTGTCGTGTACTAGGATGTCTGGTCGATCCACTTTTAATCTAATCGCAGTTTTTACTCGCGTATCGATTCTAATTTCCACGTTGTCATTAGCGACGATTTCCTGAACGGAATGGCTCCGCATGCGTAGAAGCGCTTTCAGACCATACTTTTCGCAGTCCTAAATGAATGCATTGCAAGGTCTCATTGTGCCTTCTAGTATGTATAGTCATGATATAAAATTTCCTCGCGTCACGTCGCTAGATGATCTAGCGTCTTCACACGTCACTTGCAATGTAGACATATACATTTCTCATTCCTATATTTTTGTCTTCAACATTATGAAGTCCACTTCCTAGCTCTGGCAGGTACAGTCTCCCTAAACATACAGTTGACTGTGAATTCCGTACCTATTTACTATCTGATATCATAGTCAATTGCTTGAAAATCCTCTGGTTCCAGTCTGAACCCCTCATTAAAATACTTAAGTAAACCTTATGGCGTACTCATTTACTGCCTTGATAAAGTTCTTGCCTGCTTACTGCACTTTTAGCTAGCCGCTAAATTCTCACCAAAATCTCTGCTCGCATTTTATCGTAGCTTTCTTGAGTTGGAGTGCTAATTCTGTTCTGCATTATACCAAGGTATTTATACTCTTGAGCTCCTTCGAAGAGTACCGTCTTATCAGTGCATACCTCAGTATTAGTGGCTGACTTCGTTAGATTCACCTCTAACCCTATTATTTCAAAGAACCTTGGAGTTCTTCGGCCATAGTCTTCATGATATTGTTGGTAGAAAGGAGCTTGAGATTACTCACAAATAATGAATAGTTCATTATATGCCTTCCTTAATCGGTGAAAACCACTCCCTTTCGGTATCTGCTGTTGAGCTTATGACTCAACGGATCCATGTAACCGATGATCAGGAGGGGATGCTTCTCAAAACTTGCCGATCCACGTTGACATGTTGAGCATTTCAATACAATCAATCAGGTACTTGTAATCCATTGAATCGAAAGCTTCTTTAACGTCATACCATGTGGTAAATAACTGGTTTCCATGCTCTTTGCGTACGCCAGGTTGAGGAGTGTGTGCTCTTTTGCACCTTGAACCTGGCCAACAGTTCCTAATTGGATATCTGCATGTAGTTATCTCGTGGCAATATCTAACTGTAAGACTCGTGCCACACATTTCGTTGTCAACTTGTTTGACATGCAAGTTACTGCCCTAAAGTCGCTACCTTTGTTTGGGACACATCTTTAGGAATAAGATATGTCATGCCTTTGTAGAACTTTGTAGAACCATGGATCCTGTTCCTCCCCATCCAGACAGCTGCTTTGCGAAACCTCGATTCCTCGAACGATAACCTCAAGCGTAATCATCCTGCTGGTTCCTGGTTCCAATAAGCTGGCAGAGTGATCTCTTACACCTTTCACGGAGCTTTTTACAACCCCGTCTGTTCTCCCATTGTTTTCTATTATAATTACAGATGCGTTTTTTCTCCGTTCATCCTCCATTTTCTTCTCAGACTTTTTACATCCTGACTGTACGATCACACAGCATTATTCTTTCCGATTTCGAACTATATTTGCAACAGTCCTTTTTTTCCGCCTTATTCATTCCACGCGTGTCATTCTTCTTCATCTTCCTTTGTTTCGTCTTCGGTGCTTCAGAACGAGGGGTTGCATGAGCATTATCGTTATGGTCTGTTACTTCCTTTCGCTTTTTAGAAGTCGCCTGTGATGTGTAAGGTTCTTCAGAAACGCGTGCCCACCCATTAGATAACTAATCTATTTGATTGCTAGAATGTCCTCTCGTATTGCTACCATTTCCACCGTTCTGGCATTTTTGACTGTCGATACCACTTCGTTTGTTGTTGCAACTGATCGATCTACTGATAATTCCTCCATTTAATTTTATAGTCGCATCATGACATTGCCATAACAGATTAAGGTAGATAAAACCAGAAATAATGTGCTCCTCCAAGATTAGGCCCAGTCTATGGGTCAACGATTTACCTCAAACTCAAACTAGGATAATTTAACTTTTATGCATATATATATGTATATATATATGCTACTTAAATTTCGAATAAAGATTTATTGGTGGGAATTTCGTGAATCAAAATATCATTCATAAACAATTCTAAACACACTACATTGAGTGTTAGTAATAAAAGAAATTGATATCACAAGCTTGACTAAATTTTTTTGCTTCCTTAAAGTTTTATTTCTTGTAGAAAAGTTGTAAAACCTTATATCATTGCTTTACTTTAAGAATTATTTTAGACAAAATCAAAGTGAAACTTTCTGCATGCCAAAAATTGCTGAAATCTTTTGGAAGTAGTTGATATTCCCTTTCCGTTTCCATAAAAATATGTAAGGGATCTAAGAGCAACCTTAGAAACTAGTAAAGACTGCACTGCATTTTTATAAAATATTTTAAATAAATATGACATTTTGAAAACATTTATGAGAAGTTGTTCCGTTTATTCTAATCAGGCAATATTGGTATATGAAGTTTTTCAAATTGACTAAATACTTTTTTTTAAATTGAAACCTTTATGCAACGCATGCTTTAATTTGTTTCTTTCCAAAAATTCAAGCAAGGTACTGCTCTTATTTCCTGTTAAGAATTCTAATAAAAATCGGCATTTTGATTTAGTTTCTTCATAGGTTTCACTGAATATACCAGTTATTTGGCACTTGTCAACTTCAAGTATTGCATCTCATTCAGCAAACAGAAAACATAAATTAGTTTTTTAGTTTAGCTAAATGAAAACTAAAAGTTACCAAAATAGAAATAACGAAGTTTCTGTAGAAGAAAAGTTTTATTTAAAAAGAATTTCATTGAATGAGATGCAATAGAAAAACTAAATCAAGAAAATTGCTTACTGTAAATTAGAATCGAAAATCGAACTGATAGTATCGAAAAAAATAATCAAAAAAAATTCATAGCTTTATTTGAAATTCACTGAAGTAACTACATATTTTGCAAGAAAAATTCTAATTTCTTGTATATTTTTTTGGTTGTTCAAACTAATTTCCTTTTTCCACAATTTTTTTCTGCATTTATATCACTGATAAGACTACTAAGTACTTCATAATATTTATTTAAAAGCTGAATAGATTCAGAATGCTTCAGTATTAGCAGTATTATAATATCTATTAATGCCAAAATATTTGAAATTTCGATTTTTTTAACCTTTGCATAAATTTATTTTTGAATTATGCAGAATATTCAAATGATTTTGCTTATTATCCTATTCATTTTTTATCTTAAAAAGAGCAGCACATATATTACTGGATTTAATTATATGAATAGAGATTGCAGATACTTTCAAAAATGCACAATGATACAAAAGGACAAGAGGCATTACAAGCTAAATGTTCTGACGAATCTCACCACATTAATGCATTTAATATTATATACGTTTAATGACTAATATTGTTTCATAATTATATATGATATTGTGTACTGAAAATGATTATTATGGTCTAGAAAGTATGGTTTGAGTTAGCTGTTTTTGCAAGGGAAAAATGGTTTAAATTTATTCTAAAAAAATATGAAAGTTAGTAATGAATTACAAGTCTAAAAAGAGAATGAGCTCAACCATTAGTATGAATTGTATTGAGTACTACTAGCTTGAAGGAGCCAAATTTAGCTTTTCAGCATATGACATTCGATTAGTATGCAATCATTTTTTGCATTTTCTATTTACTTGCGAATCAGAAATAACAAGAATTAAAGTTTTGATTGTTGAAGCTGCAATTACCACGCAGTTTTGCAATCATTTATTTCATTTTATCGCTTTTGCTTTTTCACTTTTTGATTGCTACAATTCAAAAATGATATTTTGGATTTTTTTAAAAAAAAGTAAATCTTTTCATTATGAAAACTTTCAATACTTATGCTTATTTTTGAAGAAAAGCTTAATGCTTCATTTCAACAATAAGTGCACTTTTCTTTTCAGTGGAAAAATGGATGAAAATTAGATTACGGCATAATGATTGCAAACAATTTTTATCACTCGAAATAATTCATATTTACAAAAAGAATTCTTTAGAAAAATTTTGAAATTTACCAACTATTAGAGTTTGAAATCTTTTCCGATATATGAGCAAAAAGATTTAAATTTTTGTAACTCTAGTTTTAAATTAATGATATCTGAATTGGCATTCAGCTATATCACTTCATTGCTTGTGTTGTGATAGTATTGATTATGACGAATTTGTTCTAAATTTATTTATTAAATTGCTTTATTCTAAATAAATAAACAATTTAAGTTAAGATTTTCATCAAAAAGATATAGAATTGCAATTTTTTCGACCAACGACAGTGCAATACTATTTTACTATCAAAATATATTCATGCAAATCGTTTGAAGGTAACAGTTAAGCAATTTGATTAAAGTACTGCAATTAATTATCAATAAATGATGAAAATATCATTTCTTTCAAAACAAATGTATAATTCCATGAGAAGGATAAAATTCGTAATTATGGTGCAAAGGAACCATACTAATTACCAACACTTTCTTAGTGCTTATAATTACTAAATATTACAAAAATTTGTAGCACTGATAACTACCTAATAGCACCGAGAAATTATCATTGAAAATAGAGGAAAAAAAAGGAAATAAAACGTTTCAATTTTTCATTTTAACATCTTGGATGCTAATCAAAATTATTAAAATTCAGAAAAGAATTAAAATCATACTCGTATTTTAATTATATATTACTTAATATCTTGATCATACTTTACCGATATCATGCCAGTACTTTTAATCATGTACAGACATGATATCAGTTAATTTGTAAAAAATGATGTTTGAATAGATAAAATGCACTGTTCTTATCAACTAAATTAATATTTACGAAAGCATCACAAATATTAATTTACTGATAGTTATTAGTGAAAATGAGCAAAAAAAAATTAAATAAATTAAATTAAAATAAAAAATGGTACTATTTTCATTTACTAAAAACAGCTATTATATTTTGCTTGAAGAAACTTTGATATGATTACCAGATATATAAATTTAATTTAATTTCAGGTACAGAATCAAAAAACGAAACAAAAATTCTAAAACTTTGATGAAAAATTTTCTGTTGCTTGCTATCAAGCAAATACTCTGATCAAAATGTAAGAGACAGCCATTACGATAGTTTTATAATCACTGAAAAAATTTATTGATGTCTCCAAGCACCCCAATAAATAAATATATTTGTATAATTTGTGAGCTAATATTCTGACACAAATCTTTCCACATATTTATTTGCATTTAAAATTGATAATTATATGCCGAATAACTTCGATGAATGATCAAATAACACAAAGTCCCATAGAATGATAATGTATGAGTAAAATATTTTCTGCTGATTGCTTAAAAGCTGAATGAATTGATTGTTAATTGAAATAAATATGAGTGAAATGAAACTTTAATCAATTCCGCTTGTTGAAATAGTATGAATAACTTATTTTCGTATTTGAGTCTCTTTCATAAAACAAAAAACAACAATGAATTTTGACATGAAAATAGAGCTATTATGAAAAAAGACTTAGATTCATAAATCATAAAAGTAATCTCAAACATTTTTCATAAGGGTTTTTTCTGGCAAAATTTAAAACGTTTTTAGTATTAATGAAAATAACTTTTACGGAAAACTTAGATTAAATGCAATATATTTACGCAAAGAACTCAAAAAAAAGAAAAATTTTTTCATGAAATGAAATAGAATTGATTAAAAAGTAAAACTTCAAAGGGAATGAATGCAAAAAGATTAGCACAGCAAAAAAATATTGTTGATATTTTCTGTTTTGTAAAAAGAAAATGTGCCAAAAAACATCTGTGCTCATAATAAGCCCAATATTTTAAGCGGACTTTCCATCGTATCTTTGAAATCAGAGGTGAAATAATTTTGCAGTGTGTGATGCTTAATTAAATAATAAATAAATAGGCTTGACGTCATTCATGGAGTATAGCAATTGCAAGTTAAAATTCAGTTATCAAAAGCTTTACTTGTATCGTAAATGTGATTCGCTGAAGAGTTGTGATATATTTAAGTAAGTTTACATTTTTTAGTTTGAAAAAAATCAGTACTCAATAAATCTTGATTATTACATTTGAAATAAATAGCATCACAGCACTACTACAATAAGGTTTCGTTCAAAAAACACTACTGCATTAATTATAAATATTCACTTTGATAACTTTATCAAGAAAATGCGCTCCTCATAATATGTCTAACATTTCAAGCCAACTACCATTGTATTTTTAAAATCAAAAATAAATTAATTTTGCAATATAATAATAAATGCACAAAATATTATTATTTGCTTGCAAAACAAAACTTTCAATTAATTTCATTTTCTAATTCATCAATTTTGCCATTTATACTCTTATCAACAAATAACAATTAGTGGAAAAAATTGACTTTTGCTTTACCACCAAGTGCTACTGTCTATTTTTAAACAAAAATCCAGAATTTGCAAAAATTTTCGATAATTGTTGCAA